TTTATATAAATATAATAAGTAAAACTTATATATAAATGATTTCTTACCCATATATATAGGGTTAGTGCTTGTCCGCCTTATCTCTAAAAAATTACGAGGAAAAAAGACAAAAATCACCTTAATGCATGCTTTAAAAATAGAGTAGTTTAGTTTTTTTTCAATAAAAAATTATTGAAACGACGTAATTTTAAGATAATTTTTCTCTTAATTTTTAAGAGATAAAGTTGACATGAACTTTTTCCTATATATATACACACATATTTTCCACAATAACATCATCCTTACTGGTTGTATTGTTCCCTCGTAGGATGGATTAAAGATTACTGCAATTCCTAGAACTACTTATCTTAAATTTCTCAATTCATGTGTGACCTGTGTCATGATGTTTTGTTGTTGTGAATAAAAAATACGTATTCGGTCTATTGCGGCAGGTCAATTGACTTTAAGCTTTATCATTATCATTTTTGTCTTATATTATTACAGGTTTCTTAATCTTGTCTTTTTCCTTTCTAAGGATTTGTTCTATTAGGCGTCTTAACATCTCCGTCGTTTCCGGCTTCCTAAATCAAGAACAGAAATATTCAAATTATATTTATGAATTTAAATAAATTTAAGTAAATCATTAAAAACAACACAATCAGAGGGATTATAACAACAAACCTGAAATCAGTCCTGTTAGCAGCCTCTTCCATCGAACCTAAGTTACCGGCACCGGAAACATTCGAGAAGAAATCGGAAGGCTTGACATTAGACGCCGATGCAGTGGCTTTCGGTCTTGAATTCTCAGTAGAATTTTCCACATTAGGCAACAGATTCATCGTCGTCACCGGCAGTGGCGGAGGGAGGGCGTTGCGATGGAGGCTAATTCCTTAAATTTAAAGATTATATGAAAAATTATCTCGTACTAAAATTTAAAAATTTTATAAATTAATATATAAAAAATTATCCCATCCTCTTAAAAAAAAATTCTGGGTCCGCCCTGGCCACAGGCGAACCTGAGAAATTGGCAAACAGAAAAAGGAAATAAGAAACATCAGTATACCACAACAATAATTACGAAAGTAAAGGACAGAAAAGGAAACGAAAGAAAATGTACCTTTAGCTTCTAATTTGGCAGCCATATTTCCGCCTGCAAGATCTCCCATATTCCTCTTCTCCTTCAAGTACTGACTCAACATATTGACGAAACTGGACCTCTCAGCTGCCCTGCTGGATTTCTGGCAGGAACTCGACATCTCTTCGCCGGCAAAAAGGAGAATAATGAAGCAACCGTGTAAAGACAGATCCTTAAATGTTAGGCTTTGGAAAAGTTTGGAGCATGCATTTACTATAATTAGGGAGAGTTAATCTCTGGGAGGGAGGTACAGGGGGAGAATATATGAAGACACAGTTCTCTGAACGTGATTGGTTAAAAAAAAAAGGTTTCATGGAATCTTTTGAAAAAGAAAATGGGGATCCATTACCTATTTTCCAAAAAAAAAAAAGAAAATGGGGATTGAATAGGAAATTGATTACTAGGAGTACTTAATTATTTATTTTGGGCACGTGTATTTTCTGCAAATATTTTTTTATCGACATATGAATTTTCCGCAAATTGAACGTGCAGTGGACTAGTGGTGGTGGTGGTGGTGGCAAGTAGAGGACAAGAGTTCACGATTTCACGCAAAAGGGTGGCTGCAAATGCAATTTGCATTCCGTCTTCACCTGTATTTACTCATCTGCCCCTGCTTCGCACCTGCCGTCTGTCTTGACTCTTTATGGTATAGACCCGTAGATTGGGAGG